TGGATATGCTAATTATCCTGATCTGAAAACTCTACATTATGTATATCAAAACACTATGTATTTCCACAAATATGTACAATTATTAGGTGTCAATAACAAAAACAAATAAAAAGTAAAGAGTAAATTAATGAAAATTGAATAAAAAATAAACATTCAGTCCCTCAGTTACACTTGCCACATGACAGGTGCTCAACAACTGCATGGCTACTGGCTACAATGATGGACGGGGAGCGAGAACATTTCCACCATCACAGAAAATTATATAGGATGTTACTGCTACATATAGGATGGCATGCTTCATTGAGGCATAGACTTCTGCCTCAGTATAACTGGCCAGCTAATAAAGCATTCAGCTCCTTACTATAAATTTATCTTCTTATTAATACAGATTAAACATCTTATAGCACAACATGCTTTGACACCTCCTGAGTGCTTTGGTTGGTAGTTTTTATTTCTTTAAAGTAGTTTTTCCTCTGAAAGGGAAAAAAATTGTATTTCTGATCTTTTGTCTCAAGGAAAGACTTGCTATTTTTCTTCTTCTTCTTTGTGTGTGTGTGTGTGGGCACCTCAGGCTCTTTGTCCTTTATCCCCTGAGTCTCCTCCATAAGGGTCGTATCTTTGGGCCTACCAGTGCAGGCCATTTGGACGGATGATGGGCACTGTCAGGGAGGCAAAACATCCTCTACCTTCTTAGGATTTTCATCTCAGAGCCTGTGAATTAAACTAACAAAAGGCAGATCAATAGGAAGAAAAGCATACAATTTTTATTAAGATTTATGTGCATGGGAGTTCACAGGAAAGAAATGAAACTCAAATAAACAGTTAGAACCAGGGGTTCATAGACCATTTTACAATTGAAAAGGGGATCTGGGCTTCAAGGGGCAACCTATCTTTGGAAGTGACTAGGAAATCCATGGGGGGAACTAATGACAGACAAGGGCTAATTTAGCAAGATGTTTATGCAAACTCCTCTCAGTGTTGACTCTCCATCTTTTATGGCTGCTGTTCTACTCCAGAAGTGGGGGACACATCCAAAAACGGAATTTTATGCTCTGATTATAGGCAGATATGGGGAGGGCAGAGAATTTTGCTTGGACCTGCTGGTTCACACTTGTCTTCAGCTCAAAATCATCCTTATGCTGAAGTGGCATATTTTGGGATAGTATATTCCAGAAACCTTAAGGACATACTGCCTGAAGTCAGGGTGGATGGAGCAGCTCTGCAGTGGGTATGCATTGGGTATGTGTTCGAGGACCAGGTTCAAATGCCCAGCACAGCTGTGACATTCTCTGTGAAATCTTGGGCATGTCCCTGCCACACTCTCCAGCTCAAACTCCACAGTGAAAAGGGAAGGAGGCTGGAGATGTGCTCTGTGGCCCCTTCCATATCAGACCAACAAAAACGCAGGGACAACACCACAGGGATGAGCAAGGCAGGGCTCTGGAAGTGAGAGAAGCTGTCCTGGCCCACAGGGAATGGACAGTGTGGCTGGAAAGGAAGAGTGTGCACTGTAGGGTAGCAGTACAACATGGCACAGGTTCAGGAGCCATAGTGTGCAGTCAGCCACTAAGTACTCATGGGCATGGGGATGTGCAGGCTGGAGTCATCTACATTAGCTTCAGTAAGAGGAGCTGCCATGTGACCCCACTCATGTGAAGTTAGTTTACTGGGAAGGGGGCCAAGCACCAGCACAGTCTGAGGCAGGACCCGCATGGCAGGCAGTCCTGGGGCCATGGCGTCTAGACATGTAGGAAGCTAGAGACGGTGGTAAACATCGACTATAAGACCTTAATGCAGGCAGAGGCCTTTTCCTGAGCCGAGAAGTCCAGTTAGACAAAGTAGCTGAGCTGCTAGGTCAGACAGTGAGGAGAGCACAAGGCCACGTGCAGGAAGTAGCTGGAGATCTCTGCTCCTTTTTTTCCCTCTTACTTGACTGTTCTCCCCATGCCTAATGACAGGTTGGGCTCCAGGCCTTCTGGTCCTTTTCCTCAGAAACTCCAGGTTCTCACCTCCTCCTGCCTCTTGTCCTTCTTCTTGGGGCTTCTGGGGGCTCCATTCCACAGCAGGACCAGGGACAAGTGGGTCTTCAGAAGACCGGAATTCCTGCCCATTTTAGGGTGTTGAAGTGATCCCGTTATCTCAACAAGACACCATGAAGACTGAACGCACCAAGGGAGAGCTCGCTGATGTAACACTAAGGAAAAACCAGCCCTGTGAATTCCACACCTACAGGGACATATCCATGGCCACTGTGCAGAGCGGCAAGCAGACCTGGGATGAACGAATCCCTTGAATAGTTACAGTCATTGCAGTCACTGTGCTTTACACCTAGCCACACTAAGATTTCTTAAAACTTTGCTGTTTGTTATGTATCAAGCGATTATTCATATGCTTTGGGTAAATCGTTTCTATACATATTAAAATTAATCTTTTACACTTAGAATGCTTTCAGATTCACTGAAGAATTGTGTAGGTATTGCACACATCCCTGATGTGCTATGTTCAATGTCTTCTACTATTAACCTAGTCCACTAGTATGCTACATATCTCACAATTAATGAGTTGATATTGATACATTACTATAATTTTACAAAATTGATGAGTAGAACTCATGTATTTATAGTGCATGGTAGGATAGTTTGATGTGTGTATTAACTGTGAAATTACTAAATCAAGCAATACCACATACACTTAATTTTTTTGTGGTGAGAACATTTAAAATCTACTCTCTGTCATTTTCAAGTGTACAATTCGTAGTTGTGAACTGCACTCACCATATTGTACAATAGATCTCTTGAACTTATTTTTTCTGTCTAACTTAAATTGTGTTTCTTCAACAATACCTACCCAGTCTGTCCAATCCCCAGCCTCTGCTAATGCTATTCTACTCTGTTTCTGTGGTAGATTTTATTAATTGAAGTCCTTACTTCATTCAGATTTCCCTAGCTTTTACCTCGTGTACTTTCTGTGCTCCAGGATCCCACCTAGGACACCACATTGCTTTTAGTCTTCATGTCTGCTTAGGCTCCTCTTATCCATGGCAGTTTCTGGGAATTATTTCTTAGTTTTGATGGCCTTGACAGTTTAGAGGAATGCTGTTCAGGTATTTTGTAGAATGTCCCTCATGTGGAATTTGTTTGATGTTTTTCTCCTGGGGCTAGTGGCTTTGGGGAAGGAGTCTGCACAGCTAATTACCCTGTCATCACATCAAGTCAGTGACACATTCTAACAACCAGAGTTATCCCTGTGGGTCTGCATCTTGGTTGCCTGGCTGCCACAGTAAGCGTGAGGTTTCTCCACTGTACAGTTACTCTTCTCCTCCTTCCCCATGCTGTCCTCTGGAGGAAAGTCACCTGCACAGCCCATGCTTTAGCAGTGGGAATTTACGCTCCCCCTTGAGAGCAGAACCTATAAGAGTTGTTTGCAATCTCCCTCAGTTCCTTCAGGCTGCTATGAGAAGATGCCTTAGACTGGCGACTTTATACATAATAGAAATCTCTTTCTCAAAGTTCTGGGGGCTGAGAAGTCAAAGATCAAGGTGTCAGTGGATTTGTTATCTGCTGAGGGCTGCTCTCTGCTTCCAAGGTGGTGCTTTCTTGCAGTAACCTCAGTTGACTGAAGGTGTGAACACTGTTCTCACATGGCAGACAGGGCAAATCTGCTTCCTGCAGTCTCTGGTATAAGGGCATTAATCTCATTCTTGAGGGTGACACCCTCATGACCAGATTTTCCCACAAGATCCCACCTCTTAATGCTATCACACGGAAATTAAGTTTGAATATATGAGGTGGAGGAACACCAACATTCTGAACACAGCAGAATCCTTATACATGGAATATTTGTCTATTCTCCTGCAGTTCTTTATTCAGTCATTTACTTACATCAGCATGGACTCCTAGAGTTTTAATATACACATTGGGTGGTAATCCAGTACCACTTGATTTTGTTGCTAGATAGTTCTCACTTTGGCCATTTTCTTCTACTGTACATTTTACACACACGTTGTTATTTCATCCACTCATGTATTCATCCAACAAGCAATGATTGAGATGATCCCAAGCTCCCATAACTGATCCACTCCTGCCTGCCTTCCCCTCCAAATATCCCTGACCAGCACTCTCTTTCCTCCCCGCTCTCCTGGCCCCACCATTTCCAGGGTACATCTTATAATTCCTGGGATTAAAATTTGCCCTCTACAAAATGTCCCAGGATCAAAACTCATCATCAATCCACCATGGCTGAGACCAGAAGGACTCAGGGGTCTGGTTATGCCTCCAAGTGCCCTGACCACCAATAGGAAGTGCATAGAGAGAAGGAAGGAGGGATGACCCAGCTTTATTCACCAGCTTTATTCTTGGCCATCCTGAGAGCTGCCCCTAGCAACAGAGGAGCAGTATGATGGGCTGGAAGGCATAAAGCAGCAGACGCAGGGAGAAGTTCAGTGAAAGGCAGCAGAGCAACACAGGAGGGCTGAGGTGACCAGGCCCAGAGACAGACCCTGTAGCAGATGGCTGCTGTCCAGGCCTGGCTGCCCCTCCTCCCCTGGTCTGCAGAGCCCGCCCTCCCAGGCCGACCATTTCGGTCAAGGCATTGACCTTCCTCAATTTTCCCAGATGAGAGACACTGGGAACCTGGGGCAGAATCAGGCAGAGCATCTGACTCCCTCTCCTGAGAGGACTCCCTTTTTTATCCTCTCCTCCACTGTCAGAAACAGATTTGGGCTGGAAGGGCCTGGGAGGGTCCACACCTGCTGCTTCTACCTGTGCTGCTGCTGCTCCTGGCCTCAGGTGACATGGAAGGAAAGAGGGCAGGGGGTACAAGGAGTGGGATGAAGAATGAGTGGGGCAGGGAAGCAGCGTGGCTCTGTGACCAGAGGACAGAATTTAGGGGCCCTCTTCCATGTGTGGGCATCAGAAGTAGTTCCCTCTCCCCTTCCCAAGCCTGTGATGGGGGAGGTTGGGTCCCTTCAGAGCTCTGACCTTGGTATCTTTCTGCAGGTTCCTGGGTAAAGGGCACCATGCCTGAAGAACTTCACAAACACACAGGACAGACCCTTCTCCTGCAATGCCAGTACTCACCCAAGACAGGACCCTATCAGTCCAAGACCTGGTGTCAGCAGACATCTCCAGATTGGTGTACCATACTTGTCACCAGCTCCAAGCCCCGGACAGCAGTTCAGAAGTCTCGTTACACAATCTGGGATGAGCCCGACGCTGGCTTCTTCAACATCACCATGATTCAGCTGACACAGAACGACTCAGGATTCTACTGGTGTGGAATTTACAACACTTCCAAAAAAGTCATCAGTGTTCTTAGAGATATCAATCTGGTGGTGTCTCCAGGTGAGCGCTTTTCTTGAGGAAATACCTCTGTGCCACCCCCCACGGACCTGAAGGAAATGTCATGCCCCCCCTCCCATGCCTCTATCATCCCCCATCCTGCCAGGTCTTCTGCTCTGACCCAAGGGGAGCAAAGATTCTGTCCCTAGACATGGACTCTCACCTCTCCTTCACCCAGCACATCCTGGCCTCAACTGTTGGGAAGACACCCCCAGAGATCCCTGGACAGAGACACAGTCTGTCTGTCATTCTGCATCTCTCTTCGTGTTACACAGGCACACCCACAACTCTTCTTTTCACACACACACACACACACACACACAAACACACACACACACCCCCACAGCTCTGTTATGCAGATCTGAGGCACGGGACACTCCCGGCCTAAGACATCCTGAGGGTCTGGCTCTGGGCCCCTACCTCCTCTCATGTATGGGGTAGACCCCACTCTCTTCTGGGCCCCTGGAGAGTCATTGTCTGCTTTTTTCTTTAGCCCCAACAACGTCTCCTATGTGGACCTTCCCCTGGCTCGCAACAAGCACAGGTAGGTTGGAGGCCTCGGTGGGGGGAGATTAGAAGGGTCACCAGGCAGCTTGGGAGCCTCAGATTCAGGGAAGGGGAAACCAGGGAGGACTGCCTCTGAGGACTGATCTCCTGGGGCCTGGGCCGGTGGGAAGCTACCTTCAGGGCCCACTGACTCCCAGGGAGAGAAACATGCACTATCTGATGTGATCAGAAGATCGCTATGTTTTCATGATGATGGGCGGGTGTCCCTAGAGGGGAGTCCATATGGGACACCTTGCACACATGTGTCCTAGCCCTCCTGCCACTGGCCCACCAGCATGGAGAGGACAGTGCCAGACTTAACTTTAGCTGGATATGGAGATTTCAGGCCCCAGTTACCCTTAGCCTGAGGGACCCTTAGGAGCTGCCTCTGGTCCCTCTCCCCTTCCTCTCACACTTTTGGGACCCAATCCCATTCTTTATTCTGGTCCCCTGGGCAGCCACTGTCTTCTTTGTGTCCTCCTTAGTTCTGATCACTTCTCCAGAGGGGACCTCTGGCCATCCCTCCATCAAGGGCTCTGAGACCAGGTAGGTCAGAGGTTTTAACAATGGGAGGGAGGTCTTGGGAAGGGAGGCCTGATTAGCTCATGAACCTTCAAATCAGGTCCAGGGCACGCAAGGATCCTTCTCTGGTGGGTTGGGTGGGTTGGGGCATAGGTTACAGCTGTGGAGCCCCCAGGCCATGACTCCAAGTTTGGTAGAGAGGAAAGGGGAAGAGGATGCAGGTTGTTAATTGTGGAGGAACCATGGAAAAGACAGTTCAACATGGATTTCTGCAATGAGACAAAATGGAACCCAGAAAATGTGGAAACTGGAGGCTGTGTTGGTGTGTTGAAGGGTGAGTGTGAATAGAGTGACTGCAGCCTGGGGCAGATGGTGGCTGGAGAAGTCAGCCAGAGAAAGATGAGAGGAATGCTCTTAAATTCTGCTTCTATCCCTGTAGTCTTGGGTTTTGAGGCCATCATGGCCTCCCCTTCACTGTAGGAATAGGCTGCAATAGACTAGGTCACAGGTGCTCTAGGGGACCATGGAGCACAGCAAAAGCCATGAGCGACTGATGAAAATAGACTACCAACTGCCAGAGCATTTGCTCCCTAGCCCTCTCCTGCAAACTCCAGCACGGGTGGATTACAAACAGACTCTCTCTCAGGGAGTTTGAAGGTGAAACTCTAACCAGAGAACAAGCATGGCAGCTAATGGGGGTCCCTGGGGTCTTGTGCTCTAGGGCAGTGGTCCCCAAGCCTGTTAGAAATTGGGCCATATATTAGGGAGTGAGTGGCGAACCACTGGAGTTCATCTGAATTACAGCCTCTTTCCATAGCTTGCATTACCACCATCTGAATTACAGCCTCTTTCCATAGCTTGCATTACCACCTGAGCTCCGCCTCCTGTCAAATCAGTGTCAGCATTAGATTCTCATAGTAGCATGAACCCTGTTATGAACTGTGCATGTGAGGGTTCTAGGTTGCATGCTCCTTATGATAATTGAATGGCTAATGATCTGTCACTATCTCCCATCACTCCCAGATGGGACCATCCAGTTGTAGGAAATCAAGTTCAGGGCTCCCACAGATTCTACATTACGTTGAGTCGTATAATTATTTCATTATATATTACAACATAATAATAATAGAAATAAAGTGCACAATAAATATAATGTGCTTTAATCATCCTGAAACCATCCCAACTCTCAGGTCTGTGGAAAATTTGTCTTCCACAAAACAGTTCCCAGGTGCCAAAAAGGTTGGGGACTGTTGCTTTAGGGCTTTTTCCTCTCATTTTTAATCCTCAATGGCTAGAGGATTTAGTCTTCCATTATTCCCCATTACCAGATCCGTATCTAATACGCCCAGTGGAATCTGAATTCACAAGCCAAAATACCTAGGTTTCTTAGTAGAAGCACTACCTTAAAAGAGTGGCAACACACCCAACAATAGAAACCTGTGAAGCAGAACTATGGGAACTGCCCATTCCCCAGGAACTGAAGTACCTATCATCAGTCTGGCTAAAGAGGTGAAGGGAAACATGACCTATGTGGATCATGAGGATGATCCATTGGAAAAAAAGAGCCAAATGCTAATCATAGTTGTGAAAAATATTATAGACCACAATATAAAAGGATGGCCGTGGCTGGCCAGTGAGCTGTAGGAAGTTGAGGAATTCTCACAGAAGTTCCTGGAAAGAACTGGACATTTAAAAATCAAAGAGAAGTCAGGAGACATGAAGGAAAAGAGTAGATGTACTAATGTATGGGTATCAAGAACCCCTGTGGGAAATAAAGGATGAAAGAAAGAAATATTTGAAGAAGGAATCCAGGAAAGTTTTTCAAAATTATAGAAGAAAAGACCTCAAATTGAAAAGATTCGTACATTGCCAAATAGGGGAAAACAGCCAACACACACACAAAAAATACCTCTACACCCATTATGTAAAACGGAAGAACTTAAAAAGCAGAGGGAAATGTCTGAACGCTTTCAGATCACCTACAAAGGAACACGAATTAGACTTCTAAGAGGAACACTAGAGAAAAGAAGACCATTGAGTAATATTTCTAAACTACTAAAGAAAAACTTTGTATCCAGTGTTTTGTATTCAGCCAAATTGTCACTCCAATGTGAAATCATAAAACCTCTGGATTCTCAAGGCCTCAGAAGGTTTGCCACATGCAGAGATCCCCATTGAAAACAGTCCTGGAGGAAGGACTCAGCTAGGATGAAAAATAAACAATGGAGACACTGCTAGAAGTGAGGGAGTAAGTGTGCCCAGCATCTTGGGAAAGTTTATTTTTATCTTTTTTAATTCATAGAAATGGCAGCTAAGAGCAAAATGAAGAACAAGAGAAAATACATTCATGGTCATTGAAAAATAACATTCTAGACCAGCAGTCCCTAACCTTTATGGCACCAGAGATTGGCTTCGCAGAAGACAATTTTTCCATGGACTTGGAGGTGGGCGGTGGTTTCAGGATGACTCAAGTGCATAACATTTATTGTGCACTTTATTTATTTATATTATTATTACATTTTAATATATAATGAAATAATTATACAACTCACCATAATGTAGAGTCTGTGGGAGCTCTGAGCTTGTTTTCCTGCAACTAGACAGTCCTATCTGGGGGTGATGGGAAACAGTGGCAGATGATCAGGCATTTGATTTTCCTAAGGAACGTGCAACCTAGAACCCTCACATGCCCCGTTCATAATAGGGTTCATGCTACTACAAGAATCTAAAGCCACCACTAATCTAACAGGAGGTGGAGCTCAGGCAGTGTTGAGTGCGATGGGGAGGCTGTAAATACTATGAGGCTTCCCTTGCTCACCAGCCACTACCCTCCTGCTGTGCAGCCAGATTTCTAACAGGCCAGGAACTGGTACTGGTCTGTGACTCAGGGGTTGGGGACCCCGTTCTAGACAATATCAACATGGGGTGAGAAGGAGAGACCAGAAGCCCATGAAAGGATGGTTGGGTATTTGTCTCATGAGAGGCAATATGTAGATATTGATAAGCTCAGTGTAGCAATTGTACTAAACCAATGTGCATAAGAGTCTTCAGGTTAAGTCAAGAGAATGTATACCCTTTCATCCAGCAAAATAAAACTCTAGCCAAAGGAAAACTGGAATCGAATTTTTTTTAAATAAAGCACAATAAATGGAAAAAGTGACATAAAAAGGTAGAATTACGTCCTAACATAAATGCAATTCCAATAAATTTAAGTGAATTAAACTCACAAAATAAGGACAGGGACACTTTGAGTTTTAAAAATTGCAATATTATACTATCTATAAGAGATACACACACAAAAAGATTTTAAAAGTTTAAAAGTTAGAAAAATATATTTGACTATTAGGAAACAAACTGTTCTGGCACTCTTAATATTGAATAAAATAGAATTTAAGGTAAAATATTATGTCTATAACGTTTGCTTATAAAAAAGACAAAGATATGTAATATATACTGATGAAAGACACACTTGAATATGAAAATAGACCCATCATAAACGTGTATGTGCTTACATTTTGGCCATGAAATATATCAAGCAACAATATCAGAAATGCAAGAAGTAAATTATTAGCCATTGTAGTTGAAGGCTCACATACCTCTCAGAGGATCAAAGACCAATGAGACAAAACTAAATACAGGGGTTTAAGTTTTAAGCCAAATAACTAATAAATTCCAGTATAATACCATCATATATTTATCAATATGTTACATATTTTATGAGATATTTATGATAATATAGGATACATATAAACTATACTTTTAAACATATATTTTCAAATATATAAAAATGTAGTTACAGATTGAAAAATGTTCTAAACTATATAAACCTTGTTTTAAATAGTTTAATAATATATAATAGGGTTCATGCTACTACAAGAATCTAAAGCACCACTAATCTAACAGGAGGCGGAGCTCAGGCAGTGATGAGTGCGATGGGGAGGCTGTAAATACTATGAGGCTTCCCTTGCTCACCAGCCACTACCCTTCTGCTCTGCAGCCAGATTCCATATATTATGTATGTTTTATAAAATACAGTATTCACAAATATAAATAGTGTATAAGTACACATATATATGTTTATAACCCTCTACATAATAAAAACAGATAGTATACGTTCTTTCAAATACATGGAATGTATTTACAAAAGGACACCTTGTATGAGGACACATAAGAAGTGTGAAGAAATTCTAAAGAATCAGTATGACACAGAATATATTCTCCAAACCTAACGCAATGACATTAGGAATGCATAAGAGAACTAAAGATAAAATAGCACTTTTCAAACTATTTACTAATACATTCATATATGAATGTTTAAGTATGCAATAAAATATACTTTTATAATATGACCACTATATATCAAAAAGTATGAGGCATACAATATTAGGGAGTAATCAGTACCTTTGAATACATTTGTTGGAAAACATGAAAACTTTCAAATTAATGAGCTAAGGAAGCATCTCAAGAAGATGGAACGTGAGCTTCAGAGCAAGCCCAAATAATCATGTAATTGAACGATTGAGAAAGGAGACCAAAGAAATTCATAATTCATTCTTTAAAAGTTTACTAAGATAGACATGTTCTTGCCAAGACAAAAGAAGATAAAAGAAGATAATGAATAAACAACAAATCGAAGAAAAAGAAGAAAATAACCACACACTCATTCTACAGAGATTTTAAAATAAATAAATCCTGAATAAAATCTTGTTGTTTTAAATCCTAGAAGCACACAATTTCATAACAATATGAACTGCCAAGATTAACACAAGAAGTAACAGATTTCAATAGATTAATAAATAGGAAAACTGAAATGGTTGATGAGACCCATCCTCACAGAAAATTCAAGACTCACATGGTTTTCAGGTAACCCAATTTTTAAAGAAACATTTGATTTATATTTCATACTAGATGTTGCAGAAAATAGAAAAGAAGCAAAAATGGCCCAGGTCATTTGAAGAGGTTAGTGTCATCAAAATCTCAGAACTAATTAAAGGCGATACAAAAAAATTACATTACAGGTTCATTTATCTGATGCACGTGGGGTCAATTCCCAAATTACCATTAGCTAACTGAATTCAAGAGTGCATTGAAAAGAAGACTGATTATAACAGAGGAGAGTTTTATCACAAAACAAAAAGGATTGTTCAACTTTACAAAATCTGTTAATATAAGTCAACCAAATTCATAAACTACAGGAAAAAAGTCAACTGCTGCACAAAAAACATTTGGGAATATTTGGCACATTTATGTTATATGAAAAAGCTCTTAATAAAATACAAATAAAAACAGAAAACTTGGTAAAGATTGTACACCAATGATTACAATAAAGATTACTTATTGGAGGTATAAACTCAAATTAAGGATTTTCACAGCTACCATAAATGTCTTCTAAAATATTAGAGGTTCTGATCAATGCTTGAAGGAAAGGAAAACAGGTTACAAGAAAGAAGATTAGACAAGAAGAGGAAAAACTGTCATGACTTGCAGATGATGGGATCATCTACCCAGAAAAAGAATGAGAAACAACAAACTGTTAGATGTCACAAGAGAGTTTAGCAAAGCTGCCAGAGACAAAATCAACTGACATACATTACAAATAGATTGGTATGAGGAATAATCATTTAGAAAAATAAGATAGTTTTCATTACAGTCACAAAGTCTATAAAGTTTCTAGAAAGAATTAATTTAACCAAGACCTATTTGGAGAAAAGTATAAAATGCTAAAAAATGACACGTGATCTGAATAAATAGAAATAATCCATGACTTTGGAAGAGGCAATAACATTGTAAAGATGTCAATTTCTCCCAAATCAAAGAGTCTTTAAATGTAATCCCAAACACAACTTGTACTTTTGTAAAGAACTTGAAAAATTTACTCTAAAATTATACGAAAAAAAGAATATACATGAGTAGCTAAGTCAACCATGAAAAAGTGAAAATAAAAAGAGCTCAGTGACTTTATTATATATTAAGTAACACTGAAGCAGAAAGTTACTGAGGCTACAAGAGAAAAGCAGATTTGCTGGGACAGGGTATTCCTAGAATCAGAGCTAGGCAGGCCAGGAGTGGGGACTACACAGAGGGGACCAGGGAGGACCCCTGGGACCAACAGACAGGAGGTCTAGGTCTGTGCTGTCACTGCTCCTAAGGGTCTGGTCAGGTCCTGTGCAGTCTCTAGGCCTCATTCCCTCAGGTGTGATATCTTGGCTTGTCTTGAAGATGCACTTGGCTCTGATTCCTAAGAGGCTCCTGATGGTCCGGTCCTACCTGACCTGGTTAGGGAGAATTCCTGCTCCCCTGGCTCTATCCCTCCCCTTACCTGAACTCTAATCCCTTGCTCTTCCCCTGGCCAGCTTTTTCCTCCATTCAAGACTTTGAGGTTCCTTCTGACCAGATCCCCTCTCAGTCCCAGATACCTCTGTGGCTCCTACCCCACGCCCCTGTGTCACAGTCAGTTCAGGGTGAGCCCCTCTACAAACAGCTCCAGCCACAAAGGGCCTGCCTGGCTTAGGGACACCGCAGGAGGTGGTGACATCCTGGCCCAAGTCCATCCTCCTTTCTCCTTCTTCCCTGCAGGAAATCAAGTGTCCCTGCCTGCCTTGGCTCAGGTGGCCCGTTTGCTGGTCTCTGTGCTGTGTGGACTCCTCATGGCCAAGTGCCTGATGCTGTGAGTCCTGTTTGTGTTTCTGACCTGCAGGTGCCACAGGTGAGAGGGGCCTGGATTTGGTCTGGGGGGCAATAGAGCTGGGGCCGGATTCTGTTCCTAGAAAGATGGCTAGGAAGAAGCAGCCAGATCACAGAGCCAGGAAAAATGACAGCTGGGAACAATTTAAATATGTTTCCTTGCAATCTCTGCCTTCCTGCAGACGCAGACCTTAGAAAGAGACAGAGGCTTTCTGGGAGTCCCATCCCAGGGCTCTGCCTCTGTCTTTGTCCTAAGAGGAAAAAGACCAGGAGGACAAAGCTGAGAGTGCCTGGGTAGAAGGTTTAGGAGACAGGAAAGGAAAGGGAAGGAAGCAGGGGACTGGGAGAAGTGGGGGGAGGGGCGGGAAAAGGAGTAACAGGTAACAGGGACAGGGTGAGACAAAGGATCAGAAAAACATCACTTCCATTCATGACTTTCCCCCTCTTGCCCCGTCTGAGGACAGCAGTGACAGAGGTTTCTGATTGTCCCAGCACAGTCTTGTCCCAGGACCCTTGGGTGCATGAGCCACAGCTTGGATCCAGGATGAATTCCAGTTCTTCCCCTGCCCAGCTATTGGGAGCTGCCCTAAGCATCAGGCCCCACCTCCCCATGAGGAAAGGCCAGCACTAAGCCTGTTGGAGAGAACTTTCAGCTCCCTATCTCCCCGGTGGCGACCGCTCACCCCTGCCCTGAACCCTCTTAGATCTACTTCCGCTGCCCTGCCTTCTGCCATTGGGAAGATCTGGGGCGGGGCTTTCTGCATCCGGGTCAACGCCCAGCTCAGCATCTTCAGCAGCGCCTGGTGTCCTCTCCAGCACTCTGTGGTTCTCTCAGCCCCGCCCCGGCAGGTCTCCAGGATCCCTCACATTTTCCCTGTTTGTTGCCTGTGGTCTGCCCGAGAGTCCTATGAATTTCCTCTTGTGCTTAATTAAATTCAGCCTCTGAACTGGAATGTGTCAGGGGCAGCTGAGCAAGAAAGCAGGTGTATCCCCTCACCTTCCTCCTCTCCCACCTCAGATATCCTAAATGAGAGAGAAATGACTTAAAAATAAATGATAAAATTGAAACTAAGAAAGGCTGTAATCAGCAGACTGAAAGCTGAAGAAGATCTAGAAGTAAAAGAAAAAATAAGATGAGTTAAAATGACATGAGCAGGAGACTCAGTAGCCTAAAACAGGACCCAGAACATTCATCCATAAATGGAATCTGATAATCTGGGGCCCATATTCTGTTTGCTTAACATGTGAGATTCATAGCCTAAAAGAGAAAATCAAGTTGAACTAACGATAATTGACGGTGGGTGAAAGATAAATGTTTTAGGGAACAGAAGAGGAGCACACATTTATGAAGCAAGAATAGGTACAGTCATTTTCCAACTAACATCTAGTGAGACTGGGACTGACAACTCAGAATGGGGGTCCACCATGAACAACCAATTTGAGGTACTGGTGCATAGCAGCTGAATGCCAGCCCTGAAAAAGACCACTATAAATAGAGCGCCATTTTCTTTTGCTCTTTTGGGGACGCGGCATCAAACAAAAGTCTCTTCATGTATATCTCAGCTCCTGCCGCATGATCATCACCTATCTGTGAGAGGCATCACTTTTGCTTTGTTTCTTTATTTTTTTAATCCCCATTCCTTATTTCCACTTGCCTTCTTCTCCGAAGCAACCACTCTAATGCGTTTGGCATGTAACTTTAAATTTGAATGTATTCTTATAAAACATGCAGTATTTTTTTTCTGTGACTATGTTTAAACTTACTTAGAAGAAATCGTGATAGACCTTTTGCATATGCTTGTCTTACTCCTTGCTGGGTGCATATACACAGCCCACTTTTTTTCAGTGCTTATTACATTGTGTTCATATCCCATAGTGCATCATTCCGAACCCAGGGTGCATGTGCTTTTTTGCCTTCACTTCTTTATATCGTAAATAATGCTGTGATGAATACCCTCCTTCAGGTTCTCTTGTGGAATCATGTGAGACTTCCTTTAGGACTTATACACAGGTGGCATCAGCTGGGTTGTAGGATCTCAGACATCTAATTAATACTGCCAGCTTGTGTTACCTGAACCAAGAATCTAGACACTAGCGATTATGTGTTTTCTTTGAGTCTATGTGAAGCACATAGCACAACCCTTGGAATGGTATTGCCAATTAAAAAAAAAATGGATGGCAAAAATAAATGTAGCTGAGTGATGCTACGTGGGGCTAGATATGTGATTATCTCTACTTTTGTGTATGAAATTTTCATAATTAAAATGATACCTAAAATTAAACAATTGTGTCTTGAAGCCACTGCTATTTGGTTTTCAGTTGTATGTGGCTGACCCCAATCCTTTCTTGATTTATTGAACTTTTACAACTGCAGTGGGTTGGGAAAAGTTCACTTGTAGTATGGAAATATTGAGCTTCACTTAAAGAACATTGGTAGTGGGATAAAAATGGACTAAATAAAAATAGGTCTTCTTTAATCAGATGCTAAGAGCTAGCATTTAGCTATAACTTTTAAATATTTTTTCTTAACATCCTTGGCCTCAAAATTGTCATAATTCCCTTAACCACAATTTTCAAGCAGGTGGTAAATTCTGTGTCATAAGCTAACATCTAAAAAAAAAAATGTATCTTTCTTTAAAATTTTGAACATTTTTTATTGTTTTCTTATCTTCATAGTGTTGCTATGGAAATGTCTGATAATAATCTGATAGTTATTCATCTTTACTGACCAATTTTATCTCTGGAACATTTTATAATTTTCTTTTTGAAATTTTTATTACAATGTGTTTAATGTGGGGTAATTATCCGGTTTTTCTTTTTCTTTTTCTTTTTCTTTTTTTTTGGGGGGGCGAAAAAGTGGGATAAGAGTCAGGGAGTGGTTGGGAAGCCCGGCGACAAAAGTCAGAAAGAGGGAAGGAGCAGGGAGCCAAAAGCCTACATCACCTGGTATTCCCAGGCGGAATCCCATCCACCTACTAACCAGGCCGACCCTGCCTGGGTCATGCCTCGGGCGCGTTGAGGGTGGTATGACCATAGAGGCCAGCAGTGGCCCCTGGCTGCCCCAACAACCCGCCGTGCTGCAGTGGCGGACCCCCACGAGGAGGTCCCGGGCTCCCGCGGACACGCAGGTGGGCGGAAAAGAGGGAGAAGAGTCAAGGGGTGTTTGGGAAGCCGGGCGACAAAACAAGGAAAGATGGAGGGAGCGGGAAGCCAAAAGCTTGATTATCCATTCTATTTGGAACTCTCTGAACACATTCAATCTGGTGTCTTACATATTTGTTTAATTCGGAAAAATCCTTGGTATTATTTTTTCAAGTAGTTCTTCTACTCCATTTACTCCTTTTTCTCCTTTAGGGACTTCTTTGAGGAGATATTGACATTTCTATTTCTATCCTCCATACCTCTTAATGTTTCTCTTACACTTTCTGTCACTTTATTCCTTCCTACTGCCTTTAGGGAGCTCTCCTTGACTCTTTCCCTTATGTACTCATTCTTCTGCCAGTCATTGCATTCAGAGTTTTCTTTCAACAATGATCATTTTCTTAATCAATATTTCTAATGTTTTCTTCTTCATTATTGCTTGCTCTTGTTTCATGCCTCTAATATTGTCCTGAGAATATCTACTATGCTCTGAGAATATCTACTATGCTTCTTTAAATCATTGTTCTCCCACTGGTTCTGCTTTCTCTGTAACAGATTGTTCAATTTGTTTCTCTATAAGAAATTTGTTCAATTTGTTATCTTTTATAGCATTTGGTAATTTTTCTTGTGTTCTCATCTTTTATTCCCTTCCCACCCTTTTTTTTTTTTTTTTGAGGATCAGTGAATTACTACAGATTTCACTACCTAAGGAAGCCCCAGAGGTAAATAGAGTTGATGAGTTTGCCATAAACCGTCCAAATATATAGATACACTTACTATATCACAAAGATAGCCATTCACATCAACGATTTTATTTAACAATGAAAACAGCATATGTTTAACTATTTGGAAAAAATTAAATGCTACCCTCTTTTCATACTATAATCTAAAATAAATTTTAAGTAGATCAAAGAATTAAGTGTTAAATGAGAAAATATTAAATAACTAAAAGAAACAACTCTATAAGGATTCAATTCTAGTAAGGACGGGCATAAGCAGCCAATATAAGAGAGACAGAAATCATAAAGAAAAAAGGCTGAGAGATTTTCCAAACTTAAATTTTTAAAACTAATCTGTGTCCAAAGTAAGTCATAAAGAAAATAAACAAGAAAAGAACAAACTCAGTAGAGTTTTTTGGAATTAAACTAGAAATCAGTAGCAGAATAACAAAAGGATATTTGGGAACTAAAAACTATAATAACCAAAATTAAAAGCTCACTAGATGGACACTATAGGGTAGTAGAAATGAAAGGATATAATTAGTGAACTAAAAGACAGATCAATAAATTTACTCAGACTGAACAGAGAGAAAGCAGACTGAAAATAATTGAACAAAACCTCGGCTATCTGTGCGACATTACCACAAGAGCTAACTTTTGCATCATCAGAGTCCCAGAAGCAAAGGAGAAAAAGTGTGGGACTAAAAAATTATTCGAAGAAATGTCTGAGCTTCTCAAATTTGGTCAAAGACATAAAGTTACTGATCCAAGAAAGCTTTTGGGATGATGGCACCCTTCTCTCTTGATTATGGCATTGGATACCTGGAACTCTCAGAACTGTTCATTAAACAGGTGAATAGTACTGTATGTAAATTAGACCTTAATTTTTTAATGGGAAAAATAAATGTAAAGACAAAATACACTGTTGTGTTAAGTCATTTTGGACATAAAAGTCTAATGTATACATATCTTTAATGACTTTGACCAATGCTTCCAAATTTCTCTTAAGAAAGGTTGAATCCTGTGCATACTTCCTCAATCAGTGAATGAGTGTTTGATTCCTTGTACCCTTATCAGCACAGTGATCCCAAGGGTCACAGTTTCGACGATCCCTGGCTCAGTGCTGGGCACACTGTATCGGTTTCATAGAAGCATGGATTGCAAGCGCATGAAGCCCCCAAAGCAACTTACTGTTCT